GTTTAGGGTTTAGGGTTTACGGAGGCAATTAAGCACCGAAATGTGGTTGGATTTCGTGTGGGACGACTGTTTATGAGGGCTGCAAGAGGGGGTTTAGAGACATAGAGGGGCTTGTAGGATGTTCGTAGGGTTTAGAAGAGCTCTGTAGCGGTTGGAATAGGCTGTTCAGGGACTCCCCGACTGGTACTCTAAACGTACTTTAATTACTTAGGGTTTTTTTTTTTTAGGGTTTAGGGTTTAGGGTTTAGGGTTTAGGGTTTAGGGTTTAGGTTGAAGTCACAAATAACGGATCCTTCGGCACTGTTATTGGCATTGTTTAGCATAGTTTAACAATAGCAGTTATTGCTGATTCGGCTCGATTGATACTGGTGCGGCAGTCGTTGTCGACACGGCTATTTCGAGTATTGTCCCTCGTCGCTTTCGCTCTTGAGATTGCTGTCGCTCCTGTTCTCGCCATCTTTACTGCCACCGTCGTCGACACCGTTGTGGTCACGTCCCGCTTGCTCCGAAACCCTAATCCTAAGCCACGCAAGCGTAAATCCAAACCTCGACAGCCTGAACCGATGAGCCTGAGCATAGATGCTAAATAACTGGTTGAGTGGGACTGACTCTTAACTGTGCCAACCCGGGACACAACACTTTTATACGACCACATGCAGCCCTAAGCCCTAAACGCTAAGACCAACAAACTTCTACACTTCTATTTAGTTTAGGGTTTTGGGTTTAGGGTTACCACGCAAGAATGACCCCTAAATTCCAGAAGCCCCACAGTGCAACTCCGCTGCTGTACAGGTCGTTGAGAACGGCCAAGCGTTGATCGAGGATGTCAACCTGGGATCTTGAAATGCGGATTTCGGGTTTGAGGCTTGAGGGTTTTAGGGTGGGTATATCTATGAAAAGGTGGCGAAAGGGGGTTCTTACAACAAGAGTCCCTTGCATAGATTTTGGAAAGTAGAATAGCCTGAATACTTGCTCATATCAACCGTTGCGGCACACATTAATTATACCATAACTTCAGTAATATGGCCCACCTTCTTAATTTTGTCTATAAGCCCGCTAGACGAAGCCAGAAGTAGATCGCCGAAATCCTGTCACGTGCAAGCAAGCTTCGCGCTTTCCGACTTCCAAGTACTTGCGGCAGGAGTCGTACTGCCTGATTCGGGTTCGGGGTTTAGGGTTTACCCAAACCCCTAAACCCTAAACCCTAAACAATGAGCCCTAAACCAAAACCCTAAACCGGTTTAGGGCTTCGGGTTCAGGCTTTAAGAATGTACCTGTATCCCAGGGCTGAGGGTTCGGGTTTAGGATTAGGGTTTGGGGTGTAGGAGTTACGGTCTCAGGCTTTAGGGTTTAAGGTTTAGGGTTTAGAGTTTAGGGTTTAGAGTTTAGGGTTTAGAGTTTAGGGGTTGGGGTTTAGGGTTTGGAGTTTGGTTTGGGTTTGGCCTTGGCTTTACAAAACTCCGAAAGAAGCGCGACAATCACGTCATCAGATGTCCTGCGAAACCTTACCAAGCAGGCAGAGGTGAGCCGAACCTTAAACCCTGAACCCTAAACCCTGAACCCCATAAAACGAGAGTCAGTGAGTCGGGCTCTTTGGGGTTTTTGGGTTTCTCGAAGGTTGTCTTTAAAGGTACCCTTGAACGAAGCCCGACAGGAACCCTTAACGGTACCCTGACAGGAACCTTGCTGGAATCCTTAAAGGAACCCCCTTAAAGGAACCCTAACGGTTCCAAAAAGCGGTTCTCGGTTCCAGTAAAGGCCCGGGGCAGAAGTTGCAAATCCAAGAAGCGCGTCGAAGCGGTCGTGCTCCCACAAGATCTCCTCAGAAGGGTGCCCGTGCCTTTAATGGGATGCGATTCAGTGGCCTTCTGATCGGTTCTATAAGCGACACTTTCCCTAAACCCTAAACCCTAAACCCTAAACCCTAAACCGTTACAAGGGTTCTATGGGGAATCTCGGGTTTAAGGGTTCTTAGGGGTCGGGGTGGAGTGTGGGGCTCTGAGTTGAGAGTTTAAGTTTTTGGAGTTTAGGGTTTCGGATTTCGGCTTTAGGGAGCTAGGGTTTAGGGTTTTTGAGTTTAGGGTTTCGGATTTCGGTTTTTTAGGGATCTAGGGTTTTGCTTGATGGAATTCGGGAATTTGTCGGATTTTTGTAGTCTGTAGGAAGGTCTGCAGGTGGAGACCAGATCGTGGCGAGGAGATCCAAGGGGCTCAGTAGGTAGGGTCCGTTTGGGGTTTAAGGTTTTTGTTTTTAAGGTATAGGGTATAGGGTTTAGGGCTTAGTGTGTGTGTCTGGGTTTTAGGGTTTACGGGTCTGTGGATACGCCGGTCTGGTTATAACCTGCATGTCGTGGAGTCGAAGGCAGATAAAGTTCAGAACTTGCGTTTTGGGCTTGGGGTTTGGAGCTCAGGGTCCAGGACCTATAGCGATTAATTAGGGTTCAGGGATGTTTAGGGTTTAGGGTTTAGGGCTGTCGGTCAGCTCTCTCGCTACAACCCTCGTTTTCAGTCGAGATTCGGGAGTGCCCAGCATGTCACTCTGAAGTGTCATGGAGCACTTCGTAACAAAAATGGCACCCATCTGCCTGAGACCGGATGTGGTGCGTGGAGGCTCAGGGAGTCGCTATACGAGCTTGAAGAGCGTTTGAATGTGGGGCTTTGACTTTAGGGGGCTTTGGGCTTCAAAGGTGTAGGAATTCGGGGCTTTCGGGGCTTTATGGTTAAAGGTTGAGGATGATGGGTTTAGGGTTTAGGGTTTAGGGTTTAGGGGTTTAGGGGTTTAGGGCTTTAGGGCTTTAGGGGTTTAGGGCCCGGCCGAGGGTTCTGCCAGAACGGTGAGGGCAGGTAACGCTCCCGGAAATCTAATGGGTTTAGGGTTTCGGGCTTATAGGGTTTAGGGTTTAGGGGTTTAGGGGTTAGGGGTTTAGGGGTTTAGGGTTTAGGGTTTAGTAAGGGGCTCCCAGGGCCTTAATAGTTAGACTATAGTTATAATAAGGAACCCCCACAATAATATAGGTTATACTTGAGGCCCCTATAGTAACCCGCATTTCCAGGGCCAGCCCACACCTCTCAGGGGTAGATGCTTACTCTTCGAGCGCGCCTATCAATCTATCTCAACTGTGGTTTGCTATGAAATGTGGTCGGGCTATGTAGAACTGCGAGAGAAAGCATCAAGCCAGAAAGCACCTTACCCTAAACCCTAAACCCTAAACCCTAAACCGAGAGGCTTTGGGAATGAACCCTAAGGCCTCATTGAGAATAGCAGGGGTGGATGGGGCGGGACTACATGCTGACCCAAGCGCGCGACAAGTGGGTGCGCCC